GACGCAATAGAATGAAACATAGAGACGAAACAATTTTGAAATTGAAGGAAAGTTTTGGTGAAAATATTAGGGATGTTCCACTCGTAGTGCATTGGGACGACAAGTTACTCCCTGATATATCAGGAAAACATGAAAAAATAGATCGCTTGCCTATTCTTGTTTCGGGTCAAGGTGTAGAACGTCTATTGAATGTGCCTAAGCTCCCAAATGGCACTGGAGAGGCAATGGCAAATGCAGTTGTAACAGCAATCTACGACTGGAATCTTGCAGAGAATATAAAAGCCATGTCTTTTGACACTACAGCCAGTAATTCTGGGATTCGCTCTGGTGCAGCAGTTCTTATTGAACAAAAGATGAATAAAGAGCTGCTCTTGCATGTCGGCACCATATTTTTGAAGTTGTTCTTGGAGATGTGTTTAACTCATTAGCTGGACCATCTACTGGACCAGACATTTTGATGTTTAAAAGGTTTCAAACAGCATGGCCATTAATTGTTCGTGACAGATATGAAGACGGTATATCAGATCCTGAAACAGCTTTAGTTTTTAGCAGCAACAGAGAAATGATGAAAGAAGCTATTGATTTCATTCAGAACTGCTTGCTGACAGAGAACCAGCCTTGTGATGATTATAGAGAACTTTTAGAACTGTCTTTGATCTACCTGGGTCATATTCCTCCTCGCGGGGTTCATTTTATGGCTCCTGGGGCTATGCATCGAGCCAGATGGATGGCCAAGGCTGTTTATTCAATCAAAATTTTTCTCTTCAGATCCCAGTTTCGCATGACGAAGTGTGAAATAAATTTATCACGTTTCTTGAATAATTTTGTCTGCTTTGTCTATCTCAACTCATGGTTTACTGCTTCGCTGTCCATTCAAGCTTCACTGAATGATCTCATGTGCCTTAAGCGACTCACAAAATTCAGGACAATAACTTTAAATGTTGCAAATGTAGCGATAAAGGCATTGTCTCGTCATATGTGGTACCTCAATGAGGAACTAATTGCCTTTAGTTTTTTTGATGATCGTGTTGATGCAGCTACAAAATTCGAGATGGTAAATGCAATGAAAACAAAAACTGGAAATGGAATTCCTGCAAAACGTGTTCAACTACATGAAAACAACATTTCATCATCAGAGCTTGCTGATTTCATTAACTCGAACACCATGAGGTTTTTTGTTATACTGGGCATCTCAACTTCTTGGCTCGAATTGAATTTATCTTTGTGGAACGAGGAATAAGTTTTTATTGCATCTAAGCATTTTGTAGCCGGTTTGAGCGTTGTGAATGACAGAGCAGAGAGAGGAGTTGCTCTTATCCAAGACTTTAACCAAATTCTAACAAAAGATGAAGGACAAAAGCAAGCACTTCTCCAGGTTGTGTCTGAGCATCGAAAACAGTTTCCAGATTTTTAGAAATCCACTATTATTAAACAGGACTAAATAGTCATTTTCCCATTCAAAACAAAATGAAAAACTAAAATGATATTGAAATTATAGTTAATTTTTCATGGTTTTCAATGTTCAATACTTTGTTATTTAAAAACTTTTGAATTAAAAGTTTATATAAAAAAATTTTTTTAAAGTGCTTACAGCCATTAGCGTCAACCTTAGTGAAACTTTCAACCCCGTGTGGCACCCCTTAATGATGAAATATCCTTCTCAAATTTTGCACATAAGTTTGTTATGCTAAAAGGAACAAAAATAGAGGTTGTCCCATCAATTTACTTTGAAAAAGTTTTTTGAGCACCACCCTAATTGTTATATTATATTAAGAATCTATTATTATGCTATATTAGAAATCTATTGTTATATTATCAAAGAATCTATTATTAGCAAGATTTTTGAGTTTTTAATGGTAGCTTGCTGTTGCTGTGTACCTGCTGTATATATTGTACATATCTTTTTTTTTAAACATTTTTACTTCTAACAAGGCTACCAGCAACCACTATTAAATTGGGAGTTACTAGAAAACAAAGAATATTGCTAAAGAGCAAGGAAATGGTTGGCAGAAGACTAAAAAAGTTGTAAGTTGTATGAGTTAGGAAAACATGAAAAAAGGTAGAGAGTTCTAAAGCATTGATGTGTCATTAAAGAAACTAGACAAATAAGAATATGTAGAACATGAAGGTACAGATACAGTAATAAGATGTGTATTTGCTGAATGACAAGATAAACAAAAATGAGTTTTGATTGATGAAACTAGAGATGGCTTGTTTGAGTAGCGACCATGATAGTACTTGTAGAAAAGAAAAAGAGATGCAGCTTTATGGCAATGGGACGGTGGCTCAAGCTTGGAAGATAGACCAGGTCCTACATTTACTGGAAGATAGAGAAGGTACTACATTTACTGGAAGCTGGAGCAGGTACTACGTTTACTGTTATTTTGAGAGTAAATCTCATCTTTGGTTTGAGTTTAATAAAATTTATTTAATAAAAATTCTGCAGAATACTCTTACCTCTTGAATTATCTTTATTATTCAAGATATTTAAGTCCTTAATAGATCTGGTTCAACCATTTTACAATATGTTTTTTAATCTTTTTCTAGTAGAAAAAGAGCATCATTAGAAAAACCAGCTTAAATATGACAACAGTATTCCATACAAGGACAAATAAGAGATTAGTATAGGTGGAGAATGGAATTGGGAGTATGAAAATGGTAAACACAATAAAGAGAAACAACCTTAGCAGATACCAACTTTACAGTTAATTATATATACAGTTTCCATGAGAGGTCAGTAGTGAATGATAATCCAAAAAAAAACATAAATTAGAGGACTTTAGTGAGAGGGTTGCCATTTGTCAATATAGGAATCTCAACAATAACGCCATAGTTGTTTGCTGTAAATAACTGAGTTTTATTGGAATTAAAATTTACAAACCATTGCCAGGCCCAGGCAAGAAGATATTTAGTGATATATTATATCACTAAATATCTTCTTGCCTGGTATATTTAGTGACCTTATTGTATATTTAGTGACCTTACAGAAAAGACCAGCATGCGAAACTTTATCAAAAGTTTTCGATATTTTTACATTTTTTTCAATGTTAGTTCAGCTACCCAAGGCTGAAAAGGCCACAACAATTGAGGAGGCTTCTTTAGTTATGGTTACAACCCTCTCCTAACTCTATAACTTAGGGTTACAACCCTCTATAACCTAGGATTACAACCCTCTTTTAACTCTATAACCCTCTCTTAACTCTATAAGACATGAACCTTGATAAACAAGGCCACTGCACTGAGAAACAAGTTGAGCGCAGTACTATCAGGAATGTCGTGGGAATTAAACTTTGAACTTCTTGCTTATGAGGCGAGTGCTTGATGACAAAGCTAGAGCGAAAGCCCTTGCCTTGTCATCGTCATCTAAAGCATAATAGAATCTTTTTGCTACAACAGTTACAAGTCAGCCATAGAATTAGAAGATCAAAATCCTAATTTATTGTTAGAAACTTTATTGTTTTTAGACTCGATTGTTATTAAATGTTCTAATATATATATATATATATATATATATATATATATATATATATATATATATATATATATATATATATATATATATATATTTGTTATTCACCTCCTCAAGGCCAAAGAAAGCCACTACAGACGAGGAGGCTACTTAATAGTGGTTATAACACTCTCTCAACTCTATAAATCCGAAACACGAACCGTGGCGAACAAAGCCGCTGCGCGTTTCTCACTTTTTCTGCTAACCTTAAGCTATACCGTTTTTTTCGAAAAAGAAGAAGAAAAAACGAAGAATGATGAATAAAACGATTGCTTCTCCATCCCAAACCCTCAGTCGATGTAGCAGCACTCCACTGCGAGTCAGGCTATTTGTCAGTCGATGTATGTACTGAAGCCCCCAGCAGCAGGCTATTTCAGTATGACATCAGATTGCTTACCTTAGTACGCAATACTATTTGTATATATATATATATATATATATATATATATATATATATATATATATATATATATATATATATATATATATATATAAATTTTCTATATATATATATATATATATTTATAGAAAATTTATATATATATATATATATATATATATATATATATATATATATATATATATAAATTTATTTAGATTGAAAATTTATATATATATATATATATATATATATAAATTTTCAATCAAATCTAATCAAATAAGTGATTGGAAAATAACGATTCAAAAATAAACTAAAATCGAATCTTTGCTTTTTTTTTGTGGTGTTTTTTTCAGGTATTTGGCACTTTGGCTCTATCAAAACAATGTTATCTATCTGTAAATACCTTAATCAATCGTTAAAAAAGTTTATCTGGGCATGAAGCACCAAAAGATAATGTTTATACAATTATTTTTATTTTTTATGAAATAAATATTAAAAAAAAAGTTTAAATTTAGGTTTAAAAATATTCATTCGAAATGTGATTCGAAACGCGAATCAAGACCTGCTTTGATTTGAGATTCGATTTGAAACAAAAAATGCCGATTTGCAGGGCTCTAATATATATATATATATATATATATATATATATATATATATATATATATATATATATATATATATATATATATATATATATTAGAGTGTTACTGCCGCCCTTATGTTCTTCTCTGATTGAGCCTGACTTTTTTTTGTGGGTGAGGTTCATTATAAATAGTAAAAATCTGAAATTTTAAGAAAAATGGACAAGTTTAGTGGTAGCAGATTTCAATTAAAGTTTTAAGATTCTCACAATTTTTCAAAATTTGTTGATAATCAGGAGGAAAAACTTAAAATTATCAGCATTAAACAACTGGAATGTTAATAGGAGTATTATATTAATAAATGTACCTTATATGTTATTACAAATATCTTAAAATATGTTTAATTTAATAAAAAAATGCAGTTTAACAGTTTTATCCGAAATTTTATTTGATTTTTTATTTGTGTTGTTGTTTGTTGTTATTTTACAGATACAGATTTTAAACTTTTTTTAGATAGATAAAAATAAAAATATTGACAAATTAGGTGGGTAAAAATGGCTAAATTTAAAGACCCAAGATATTTTATACTTGAAACTATCTCTATTGAATCTGATAAGAATATACAGGAATCTAGGCTACCAACTGCTCGTCAGGTGCTTTTATGTTTTCTTGCACACTTCACCACAAAATCTAAGAAAGGTGCTGCAAATGAAACAATTAAATCAGTTCTACTAATTTATAATTAGGCAAAAATAAAAAAGATTAAGTCAAATAAAATGGCAGAAGAAATCATGACATTATTTGAGGAGTCTGTTAAAAATTAATCATGCCCATAGAAACACTGACAAGAATACCCAAAAATTATTGGATTGAAAGACAAGCTAACAAAAACAACAAGGTTCTGGTCACATGATGTGCTAGATAAATTGGTTAATGCAGAAGATTAACTGTTTCTGATCAGCATGATGACTGATAGGAAAGCATCCATGGGCTGAATTGATCTTAAACTTAACCTTGTTGAAAAAAAAATTTCTTGACAGAAAGTTTGCTGAACAAGAAAGAATCTATAAAGAAATAGAAAGGTAATCAAATATCTTGAGATGTTCTAAGAACAATTTAATGGAGATAGACAAAGGTTGTCTTGATCATGATGAACATGTGTTTATGAAACTAAGCAGCGATGTGTTTATGAAACTAAGTGTTTATATGTTTATGAAACTAAGCAGCGTTCTCACAAAAGAAGCGTCAAAACTGGCACAACTGTGTTTATACCACATAATAATCTGAAATCACCTAAAGTTATTAAAACAGCTGTTATGAACAAGATTACACCTACTGCACTCAGTTCTTTATTCCACTCAATAATTTGTGCCACCTTTGGCGATTCTTCTAGAGTTGGCTTGAGCTACACAACAGCATGCAGGTATATATATATATATATATATATATATATATATATATATATATATATATATATATATATATATATTATTGTTATTATTATTATTATTAATTATTATAGATATAGATTAAAATAGAAATTTCTTGTTTTGTTTGAAATATTACTTTCTATTGTAATAGAAATATTTTACTTCAGATACTTTTAATTTTTGTTTAATTTTACTTTGGATGGATCCTAAAGTATAATTCAATCATCAATATTTTAACTTTTGCATTTTTTACATTAAACCTATAAATAATAGCTCCTGATAGATAAAGATAATAGTAGATAAAGAGCTCCTGGAAATCTCCAAAAGTTGGCGTATTGGGATAGCAAGTTAATGGATTCACTTGACAACAAAAATGTTAGGGAAGAAAAGCTTCCTATTCTTCTTTCAGGCAGCTATAAAATAAAACTTGGGCAAGCCAATTCATGTAATATTAGGAACTAATGAAAAATTTACATATTAGTTAATAGACTTATTATAAAGTCAGTTAAAGTTGGTTCTATTTCAAAAATATATATTTTTTAGGTTGTTCAGGTGTAAAATTACTGGGTATACTAGCACTGCTATATAAGTCCACAGAGAAGATGGATCCAGTGATTGCTCAGGCATCATATGAATTACTAAAAATTGGAACTGCACAGATTGTGTGGCTGGCATGGTTTTTGATACAACAGCATCAAATACTGGGGATATAACGGCAAGCTGTGTTTCAATGCAAAATGTATTGAACAGACCACTTCTGTGGCATGCTTGCCGACATCACATAGGAGAGATTATAACTCATGTATGAAACAGTTTGGAAAGAATTCAAAAGGTCCTAATATCAGTCTATTTTTAAGGTAATCTACATATTTAGTCAAATGTTTTATTATTATTTATCATTTAAAATTATAATAACATCAGTGTTATAAGCAACAAAATATTGACATTGTTTGGTTTTTAGATTTAAGAAATACTTTGAACATCTGAATTGCCAAACTATTAAAGACCTTGACATCCCTCAAATTTCACAGTCTTTGATTAACAAAAAAGATGCCATTACTAATCTTTGCCAAGAAGTATTGAGGCAAAACTTCAACAGAGAGGATTATAGAGAACTTGTTCAACTATCATTTTTGTATCTAAGCAATGGGCAAAATGTGGTATTCTCTGGGTTTATTAGACCAGGCGCTTTGCACAATGCAAGGTGGATGGCAAAATTGTTATAAAACTTGTACTGTTGAACAAAAAAATCAGCCAGCTTCCTAAAGGAACAATTTTTGCTCTACAACAATTAACTAAGCTACAAAGGATTGTTCAGTTTGTTGTAGTTTGCTATATTCCATGGTGGCTTAGTGCACTTATATCTTCAGCAGCTCCTACTAACGATATAAATCTTATTAATTCGTTATTAGAGTATAAAGTTATTGATTTATCTATTTCTAATGCTGCTCTGAAAGCTTTCAGCTATCACATGTGGTATCTCACTGAGGAGTTAACTCCACTGTCTCTAATTAATAATAACCTAGAGGACAAGCAGAAAAGATTGCAAATAAATCACTAAAAAATTATAAGACATTGAATGAAATAACTTCAAAAAGGAAAGGGTTAGGGTTTGGTAAACCTATATTTCCAATGGTTCCTAAAATGATTGTGAATGATTTGACTGATTTATTTGGTGAAGACTCGCCAGTATTTTTCACCATATTAAGTATAAATAGTAGTTTTCTCAGGGAACCGGTTACGGAATGGTAAAAAAACTAAAATTTTCTAGCTTCAAAAAATGTGGTTTCTAGTTTATGTGTTTTAAACGATTCTGCTGAACGTGGAGTAAATCTTTGTAGTGACTTTGCGGGAACTCCTAAGAAAGTAATTAAGTTCCAAAACATTATACAAGTTGTAGAAAACAACAGAAGTATGTTGCCCAACCAAAGAAAAATGCACATAGAACCAATCAGATGATACATTAAATTCTGATCAGATTGTTTATTTTTTCTAATTTTTATTTAGAAGTGTTACTTTTTATTTTGTTACTTTTTAATGTTAAAATCTTTAACTTATTAATCTTTTTTTTTTAATTTGTATAAAATAAATAACCACCCCTGACCTTTTTTTACTGTCCCTCCCTAAATAGCACATTTAATTTTTTTTTTTTTTAAATTCTACTCCCTTATACCAAAAATCTTCTTTAAATTTGATAAGTAAAAAATATAAATTATTAGATTTATTTGCTAAAAATTGAAAATTTTCAATTTTTGTACCCAAATAAAATACTTTGGTTAAAATCTACTACCACTAAACATTGTCCAATTACGTTCAAAATTTTCCTAGTTCTTAGTTAGAAGTATCCTCCTCACCAAAAAAAAGTCAGGCTCGTTTACTCAAAAATTTAAAAACAATGGGGCAGCATGATTACCCTAATATGTATATATATATATATATATATATATATATATATATATATATATATATATATATATATATATATATATATATATAAATATATATATATATATATATATTAATATATATACTAATATATATATTAATATATATATATATATATATATATATATATATATTAATATATATATTAATATATATATATATATATATATATATATATATATATATTAATATATATATTAATATATATATATATATATATATATATATATATATATATATATATATTAATATATATATATATATATATATATATATATATTAATATATATATATATATATATATATATATATATATATATATATATATATATAAATATATATATATATATATATATTAATATATATACTAATATATATATTAATATATATATATATATATATATATATATATATATATTAATATATATATTAATATATATATATATATATATATATATATATATATATATATATATTAATATATATATTAATATATATATATATATATATATATATATATATATATATATATATATATATATATATATATATATATATATATATATATATATATATATGTATATATATATATATATATATATATATATATATATATATATATATATATAAATTTTATTTATCTTTTAATAATGCATTTATTTCAAAGTATAATGGAATCACCTTCAGTATCATCTCCGTTCCACTCAGTTATATATTCAGAAGCACCACGACATAATAAAGCTTTAAAGTTAGCTTTCTACAATACAGCAGCATTGCTTTTTGCTTTTATTAGCATTGTGATTACCATTAGTTCTTATTATGTTCTGGAAATTTTTATAAGACCACTTATTTGGGCAGCTTTATGTGGAACTTTTTTATATCCATTTAAAAAAGCAGCAACAACATCTGTACGAAACTGGCTTGGTAATATACATACTAACAGAACTCCATTTATTGTTGGACTGTCAATTTTACCATTCAAAGCTGTTGATAAAAGTGCAGATTTTATGGGGAAAATTATCAGAACAAATTACAAGTTAATGGCTTTATTTGGAGTTTTATTACCACTTGTTTATTATATTGTTATATTTCACGCATTTTACCAAATATTTTATGTTATTTCACTTGGACTAGGAATACTAGGAGATCTTCTATCATTTTTTAATTATCCTTATGCTGTAAGTTTTTTTAAATTTTTCTTTTGTAAATTTTTCAACTTATCTGTTATAAGTTTTTAACTAACCTTATGTTGTAAACTTTTAACTTACAACACATGGATCTTACATTTTGCAAGGTATAAAAATAATAAAAGAATTTGCAAGTTTAAAGATTATGAAAGGTATCGAATTTATTAGTTTTTTTTTTCATAGGTATGGACCATGTTTCTCGGTTATGCAGTTTTGTTAATATTTTATAGAAATAGTTCACCAATATTTCCAATAGTTATTTTTAAAGCCATTTCAATTTTTGTTTGGTTAATGCTATCTTTTCATTTTGTGTCACTAGCAGGACTATGGAAAGTTCCCTTAGCATTAATATTGTGTTTATTCATTATCTTTGGAGTTATTGGAGAGCTTAAAGATTATTTCAAAATTGGTAATTTCTTATTTAATTTTCTGTTGTTGTTATTTTTAAATGGTTTGTTACATGAAATCATTTAGCAAGGTAGAAGATAAAAAAAAAAGACTCAACTCTTAATGCCAAGAGATTTTCGAAGAAAGTTGTAATCTCTTGATGACATCAAGAAATTTCAAATTTTTTTTGTTATAAATTAGACTATAATGAATTAATTTGTTCTTTTTTCAGTTCTATTTTTTTTTTTTTTTTTTATTATTATTATTTTTTTCTGTTATTATTTAAAAAAGCTAAGTTTTAGCAATGCAGAATGATAACTCTGAGAATTTAATTTATCAAAGGTTCACTGAGAACCTTGTGTTATAACCTAATAGCAATAATAACACTACTGAATATAATAACAACTCATTGTAATAACTCAATATGTATTTTATTTATAACACCACACTACAAGTAAAGTTCTTGCTTTGTGTCTCTATATAATCTCCGGACCATTTGGAAACTTGCTTGCATGTTTCTTTATTTTACATAACCGTAAACTGGATTATGTAATTACATCAATCCTTTACCCATAAATCATTCGTACGGCTCTAAATAAGATGGTTTATGACGTACTTGACCTAATCTTTGGTTAATTGAAGAGGTTGGTTCAGAAAAAGCACCAGGCTGTTCATACAGTTTTTTGGGATCAACATCCATGCTAATCTCATCACGGTTTTCACTCAAGATTTCGCTTGAACATGGACTGGTTTCAGTCACTTCATTTAGTTTATCAAAATTGCTCAAAATTGGAGTATTTGTGCTTTCTGGTGTTTTAGTAGAGCTTTCGTTAACCTTTCCCCCACAAGGATTTACAATTTGGTCCACATGTCTTATCTGGATACGACCATCTAATGTTAACACTTTGTTACTAACATTCCCAACTGCTCATATAATTAAAGCTGCAATCCACTTTTCACCTCTACTATAATTTCTGACGTAAACCGTGTCTTCTAGTTGAAAAAAAAACAAACTTTTTCCATAGAACTGTCTGATAGCTTCTTTTCATTGATTCTTGAGGTAACTTCAGGATGTAGCATCGCCAACATATTTCCTATGTCACATACCACTACGTGAGGGTGCAGAACCTAAGTTTTATAAAGCAAGACCAGTTCCTCATGCTTTAAGGACTAGAATTGAACAAGAACTTGATCGCTTAGAAGATGCAGAGCATCTGAACAACTTAGTCAATCCTGATTCTTTCAAAATTTATTTTGAAAGAATCAAGATTGACGCTAAAAGTATAAGTGCTCATTCATGCAACCTGAGGTGGAGTTTTGTGGATTTATAATTAGTCAGAAAGGTTGCAAACCAACAGCACGGAATGTGGAAGCAGTAATGAATGCTCCTTGACCCACAAATATCAAGGAGTTGAGGGTATTTTAAGGAATGGCCAACTATTACAAAGTCTTCATACCCAGGATGGTATCACAGAGCCTCTCCATAATTTGTTAAGGAAGAACGTAAGTCGAGAATGGAATAGAAACAGTGAACGAGCCTTTGAAAGCGTAAAAACTATATTGTGCAATGCACCTTTATTAGCTCACTTTGCACCATCAAATAAAATCGTGGTTCACCGTGATGCCAGTCCATATGGCGTAGGACCCGTTTTGAGTCAAGAACAGCATGATGGAAATGAAAAACCTGTCAGTTTTGCTTTGAGAACAATTTGTGGCTAAAGGCCTTTATTTTATCATGTTTGTATATTTTGTTTGCTTTTTTATTGGTATTAAATTACTTGATAATTTTTGTTATAAAGTTATTACATTTTACCTTGAGTTGTGATAAATTGTTGCCATTGGATGATATAAAGAAAATAGAAAAAAAATCAAGTTATTGTTTTGGGTTTCTTTTTCTGCAGGGGAATTTAAATTGTGAAAATAGAAAAGTGTATTTTGAGACTCTTTATTTGTATTAAATAATTAATTTGATAACTATAGAATTTACATACCACTTTTTTATTATTACATTATTAGTATGTAAAGGTTACTTATATCCGTTTATATATCAAATAATCCAATTGTATGTGGTTTATTGAAAATCTATTTGTTTTTGCAAATTGAGTAAAACTGAATTTATATTTAAAAAATCATGTTTCAATTTCTGTGGCAAACTATGGCTGTTACAAGAGCAGAGCTGAATTGTCTTTTTTGTCGAATGTAAATTTTTGCAAATTTTCATATATATTTAATATCAAAAATGGATTTTCAATTAGACAGCCGCAAAAGGATGAAAAATTATTTCATTTTTTTTAAAATTTTGTATGATGTAGATGTTAGAGCAACATTATTTTTGCTATTGACCTACCCTAATGACTAATTCTCAAGTTATTCTAGGAGAAACAGAACAGGTTGAGGTTATGTAGCAACAAAGTTGAAAGATGAAGATTTGACTTCGAAAAAGTTTTGCTAGGAATGGAAGTCCCGATTGCATTGATTTACACAAAGTGAAGGTCTGATTGCTGAAGAGAAAAATTGAAATGTATCAAAAAATGAAAATATAATTTACCCGTTATTAGCATTATTTTGACTGACATATGTGTTGATTCTCGAAACAGAGTTGATGATAAATAAACATCAGATTAACATGAACTAATGAAGGAAAAGATGCATTATGTGATTTTTCTATAAGAAAAATACTTGAAATGTAAAAAGAAAATGATCCTAAATGCAGTGCTCATATAGAAATTTGTTATATTTTTTTATCTTTGAACTCGTCTCCTTCCAGGCCAAACTAATTATAATTAATTGTTATAATGTTATAATTGTTTTCATGTTATAATTGTTAATAACCACATAAAATTAAAAATTACATTTATGTACTTATGTAGTTAATTTTTTATTAAAATTAAAAGCAGTCTAATTTTAAGCATTATGTTCTTTATATATATATATATATATATATATATATATATATATATATATATATATATATATATATATATATATATATATATATTATATATATATATTAGACAAAATATGTATATTAGACATGATTTGTCACTTTATTTAAATGCATTACAAAAACTAAAGTAAAGATCAAAGTATTTTATTTAATTCAAATAATTTTCAAAAAAGTTTGTCTTTTTTTTCTTCTCAACAAAAACTTTAATAACTTTTATATTAACATATTCTTATTTAATAATTATATTCTTATTTAATAATATTCATATTCTTATTTAATAATATTCTTATTTTTTTAAAAAGCGACGGCTTTAAACATAGAATGTTTAAAGCCGTCGCTTTAAAAAAATTTTTTTTTGTTTAATTTTACTTTTTGTTTAATTTTTACTTATAAAATAATCTTGTATAATTAAATAATATATATATATATATATATATATATATATATATATATATATATATATATATATATATATATATATATATATATATATATATATATATATATATATATATAAAATTATACAACTTTCAATGATACTTTAATTTAAAAGCGTTTTGCTAATATAAAATGTTAGTAAAGATAAACGTGTCAAAGTAATTTATTTTCAACATAGTTAAAAACCAATTTTTCCAACACATTTGTTAAAAACTGTGGTTAAATCATCAAAACAAAATATTATTTGCGTGGTAATATAAAGACTTGAAATCGTATGCCTTCCTGGCCAAGCCTGTTTAAATGTTTTGTCAGGCAGTACGCTGCTAAATAATAATTTTCAAATATTTATCGCCTAAAGAACGCTGTATAACAAATTAAAAACTAATAAAATTGTGTGGAACATTCATATCCCAAAAAAAAAGATCACTCTCAATAACTTAATGACGAGCGCGCATAATCTCTCTCACTTAAAAAATATTTGAGTTTTACAGGCGCGAAACATCGCGCTGGACAATTTTTTTCATGCCAAGGCCTGATATATATATATATATATATATATACACACATGTATATATATATATATATATATATATATATATATATATATATATATATATATATATATATATTTATTAGGTAAAAAATATAAATATTTTTGTATATTTGTATGTTTTTGGTTGTTAATATTAAACTTTAGCAAGTATAGTGATTTTTTAGATAAATTCCATGGTAAGGATTTCCATGAAATTAGCCATTCTACTCTAAAAAGTGTTGTTGATCAGACATTTGCAGTTTTTGGGATTGCAAATAAAGACTCTGATTCAAATTTGCATAAATCTGCAGAGGGCTTATCGGATCACAATCCAAAATCTCTTGATGGACCGAAGCTTTCATTATTAAATTTAAGAAAAAAATTAAAAATGCAAAAAGCTGCTAAAAAGAGGATTGGAACAAGTGATCCATATTTTATTGTGTTATTCTGGTTAATTGTGCTAAGTCGTGTATGGTTTCACATTTGGATTTTAGAGCTGTTACCATTTCTCCTTTTTATTTATATTTTCAAAATAGCATATTTGAACTTTGGAATACCAGATTTGATATACAAAAAAGTTGAAGGATTAATTTCAAATTTTCTGATATGGTACAATGATAGAAAAGATATTATTTTACCAGGTCCTGTTAAAAGAATATTTGCAATAATTCAGTCAGGTGACCAAAAGGTATATTTATAATTTTTATACCTAACTATCATATATTTTTAGGTTGTTTATATATATATATTGATTTATTATATATCAATGGGTTGATAATATATATATAATATAGATTAGGTTGACTCCTAAAAAAAACAATTTTTGAAAATGTCTGCTCTCACCCCCCACCCACCCCTAAATGTGTTTTATAAATAAAATAATACTGGATTTAAAAAGTTTTTAAATAAAAAATATTTTTAGGTATTGATGAAGACCTATAACTTAAGTTATATTCTTAAGGCTGGTTAAATGACCATATAATATTTATTTGAAGATTTTTATAATTATTTATTTGAAGATTTGTTAAATGATTTTATTATTATTTACTTTAATTTTTTGTGATTTAAATGTTCTTATTACATTATTAGGTTATTGTATGGACCAATTCAATGATGGATAAAATGATGAGCGTTTTAATAATTTTATCTTTAATTGTGTTGGCGACTGTAGCTGGTGTTTTTTTCTTTGTGCAGGTTTATTTTTATTTAAAATTATATACAAAATTACTGTTTAAGTATACAAGTGTAATATATTAATGTAAATAATTATATATATATATATATATATATATATATATATATATATATATATATATATATATATATATATATATATATATATATATATATATATATATATATATATATATATATATATATATATGTATATATATATATATATATATATATATATATATATATATGTATATATATATATTAATATTTAAGGCTGCTTTGTATAATAATAATAAAACCAAAACCATAATCGTATTATATATATATATATATATATATATATATATATATATATATATATATATATATATATATATATATATATATATATATATATATATATATATATATATATTACAGGGTGTATACTTAATTTCTGACCCCCTATATCTTGGTTTAAGAATACGGTATTTCAACACATACCATTTTATTACTGTCATATCAATTTAATTAGACAAAGAATATATGTTAACAGTCAGTAATCAGTATTTTGTCCATTTCTTTCTATGCATTGGGTAATTCTCCTTGGCAGGCTTTCTACTAGGCGAAAACACTCTTCTTGTGTAATGGCAGCCCACTCCTGTTCAACACGTCTGATCAACTGTTCACGATTACGAGGTCGAGGATTGTGTAAAACACTGTCCTGGAGTCTTGACCAAATATGTTCGATGACATTTAAGTCGGGCGAGTTGCCAGGCCAAGAAAGTCTCTGTTGATCACATTCATTGTTGCTCTTGCCGTGTGGCAAGTTGCTCCATCTTGCATCAGAATAACTTTATTTCTCACAGGAAAGATGGTTTTATCATCAGCTGCACGTTTGTACACAGGTAGAATAATATCACGGTAATATTGTCCATCAACAGTTTTATTTTGCTCAACAGCAACCAGATCAGTTTTGCCATATCGAGAAATGCTGCCGGCTATCATAATCTTGAGACCGAATTTCGGACGTCGAACATAAGGTATTGACTCTGGTGTTGCTCTACGTACTCTTTGATTTTGACGGTTTGGAGCCGGAATTCAATTGGACTCTCATCAGTTCACAATACGTGAGCTTGTTTCACTTTACCATCTGGTGAGTCATCTGCGAATCCTTCTTCTTGCAAACAAGTACAAAAATTTACGCGATCAGTGATATTTTTCTGCGACAACATGGGTTTCACTTTCTGTGTATAGGCATGCTTTCCCCATGTGGTCTTGCGCAAGTATTTACTAATAGCACTGTTTGAAATTGTTTTTCCTCTTTCTTTGTAACTATCTGAAAAATTCAGTTTCTTAGCTACAGTTCTCGTTCCAACTCCGACTTTGTCTTTGACCCACTTTCTGACCTTGTCCTTGGTTCTTGGTGAAATCTTTGTTGGCTTTCCAGGTCGCTGAGCATCTGTTATGTCACCCTCTTGTTTTCTTGCCCACTTCCTTACAGTATTTCGAGAAACTTTACACTGTCTAGTGATTTCTTTAATGCTTAATCCTTGACTATATAAAACTTGAATTCGTGACGAAGTAACTGTTTATCAGAACTCATTTTCAAAGTAAATTGCTAAAAAACGCAAATACATGTTAGTAGCATATACATATAATACATATAAATACACACAGAGTAATTAATGTAAATCATAAACAGACACCAAGTATCACTGATATAAATGAGGCAAATAAAAATAATGCTGATTATTTTTTGTAGCCAAAATGTTAAACATTAAAAAAGTGTAAACTTAATTTCTGACCCCGGTTTCGAAGAGTAGCAATACGTCATAAACAGTGAAGAAAAAATGTGTTATTAATTGGAAATCTAAGATCACGTATTAAGGAGTAATAAGGACAATTTACTTAAAAATCAAGCAAAAACTATAGTCATAATGCCAAAGGCCGTGGAAGACAAGGAGAATGAAAATATTATTTTTATGTATGTTGACAAAATGGCTCCCATAAACATTTTCTGAGGTCATATCCTATCTGAAGTGAGCGTTTTATGTGCAGAAAGTATAGTTACACTAAAATACATACTATAGTATTTTTCGGGGTAAAGTAGCATTTAAGAGAGCAACTCAAAATCTTGTGTTTGTAACATGTGTGGGGGGGGGGGGGGGGATCAGAAATTAAGTATACACCCTGTATATATATATATATATATATATATATATATATATATATATATATATATATATATATATATATATATATATATATATTATATATATATATATATATATATATATATATATATATATATTAATATATATTATATATATATATATTAATATATATATATATATATATATATTAATATATATTATATATATATATATATATATATATATATATATATATATATATATATATATATATATATATATATATTAATATTTAAGGCTGTTTGGTATTATAATAATAAAACCAAACCCATAATCATAAAAAAGTGCTCAATACTAAAAAAATATTTCAAATAAAGCAATATACATAATATATATATATATATATATATATATATATATATATATATATATATATATATATTATATATATATATATATATATTATATATATTATATATATATATATATATATATATATATATATATATATATATATATACATAATATATATATTAATGCAGAGAAAACAACTTCTATAGCAATTAAATTTTCATGCCTATGAGACAATCATCAGCCATTGAATTACAAAAATCAAAAACAAAAAACAGCTAAAAAATGACAAAATACTGTGTAGTGGGATCTTTATGTCGCTAAAAGGTATACATGATAGCAACCAAAGAAAATTTTTTTAAAGAACAACAAAATAACAAAAGATTATCTAATCACTGTTTTCGAAAAAAATATATATATATATGTTTATATAGTCAAATTTTATTCTATTTTTCGTCAACTTTTAGCAAATGAATATTGATGTAGACACATGAAAGTTTATTTAAAATATACCTTTAGCACTAAAATTAATTTATTTAAGTCATTTTTATGCTTCCAAAAGTTACGGTTTTTCTCATTGTCGCATGATAAAAAAGGTATCATTGTAAAATGTAATTATAATCATGAATTTATTTGCATAATCGGAGTTAAATTAGCGTGAAAATGGAACTAACATGTTCAAATTGTTGTTAGTCAGATTTTATACTTTATAAAATATATATATTCTAAGAAAATAACGAATGAACTTTTGCAATTTTCATGTAACATAAGTTAACAAAAACATGATAAAGTTTTGTTTGTTATAAAATTTAATCAAAAAACTTAAGTTTTTTAATAATATATGCGAAAGAATATTAAATGTAACATTTTTGCATTTAAAGTTTTGAATAACGATGCTTAGTTAGAGCACAATTTCATTCTAAATTTGTGTAACGTAAGTTATAACTACAAACATTTTCTTAAGTTCTGGTGCTTTTTTGTTAACAAAATGAATTACGTCATTTAGTAATTACTATTTTGTTGACAAGGTTTTAACTGGAACTTTTTATATTAGGAGAATTTAGAAAAAGATATATATATTTTTTTTAATGTTAATTAAAATTATTTATATTATTATTTTTTTATCTGTTTATGTATTCTAACTTTATTTGACATAAATTCACATAAATAAATAAAAATAAGAATTATGTAAATATTTGTTTTTAGACATTTAAAAAACAGATTTATTTGCTATTTTCCTAATATAAAAAAAATCAGTTGGAATTTTTTTTGTTTTTGTTTTAGTAAAACTAATCATTTGTAAATGCTATTATGAGTCATCCATAAAGCATGTCACCCTATATTTATCAATTTTTACCCCTTCCCTTTCATAAATGATTAAATATACCTGAATCCCTCTCCCTTCTAAACTGTGATAGCAGTTTTTCTTCAAAAATATTTTCAAAGACTTAAATGTAAATGCTTTGCAGCAATTTTAAAATTCAACCTAATGAAAACAAGGCAATACGCATAAACGAAAGGAGTGTAAGTAAAAACTTCGACAAACCAAAGGTTCTTATATTTAAACAACTCAAATTAGTATTAAAAAGTTGTAATACTAAAATAATTTTTCAAAGTTGCTCTTGGTCTTGCAGAAAAACTGTTTTCGATTTGATAACATTTGTAAATAATATGAAAAATCACTCAGGAAGAGTGCCACCAGTTTTTTAAAATTTTCTTTGTTAATTATTTATAATGAATGAGTTCAATATCTTTGCAATTGTTTAGTTACATAACTCTAACTCAAAATAATAGAAGTAAAAATCCACGATAATAATCGCAAAGTAACGTAAGTGATGTAACATAAGTGAGATACATAGTATCAAAAAACCAAATAGCTAAAAGTCTAATTTACTGTTTAAATAGGCAAATATTTGATAAAGTTGTTGCGCATGTAATGCGCAAAGTTAAATGTGGAATTGCCCATATATATATATATATATATATATATATATATATATATATATATATATATATATATATATATATATATATACATACATATATATATATATACATATAATATATATATATATATATATATATATATATATATACATATATATATATATATATATATATATATATATATATATATATATATATATATATATATATATATATATATATATATATATATATATATATATATATATGTACATATATATTCATATGTATATATATATATATATATATATATATGTATATATATATATATATATGTATATATATATATATATATATATATATATATATATATATTATATATATATATATATATATATATATATATATATATATATATATATATATATATATATATATATATATATATATATATATATATATATATATATATATATATATTGATACTGATATTTAAGGCTGTTTTGTATTATCAAAGCTACAGTAACATATTTTTTTGGGTAGATAGACAAATGCATTCACTAAAAAACCAAAGTTTTTTTGTCTGATTTCACGGACTTCACATTA